AATGGTTGACACATTTGATTCAAAAGTTGAACTATTAACCTGCCACCAAATGGAAAACAATTTCATTTTTTTTTGTTGAATTTAAATTTTTTATTTCATTCCATCATTAATGAACATATTTTTTGTTTATCACACTTATTTTTCTTTAATATGATTGATAAAAAATATAAGAGATAAGCCCAATTTTTTGTACATTATTTTATTTTTTGGCATTTTTTGTATTTATTTATATTTTATAAAAAATTATTATTTAACAATGACATCATGGGTTGACCCATTTTACCTAGATGTTTGGATTGCTTACCCACCACTTGAATCAAAGAATGAATTTGTTTTTTTGATCATTTTTTCAAATGGATTTTATATTGTTAAAAATATTGGGTATAAACCTAATTAATAGAATTTATCAATGAGAAAAACACTTTAAATATAGGATTTGAGAGTTAATACCTTAAATATAAGACTTAACATGAAGGAAATAAATGAGATGATAAGTAGTGGTTCAAATTTCATTTTCAACCCTCAAACACACACAGGGGAGAGAGAGAGAGAGAGAGAGAGAGAGAGAAAGAAAGACTAAATTAAAAAATAGGGGTGTCTTAATCAATAAAAATAAACGTGTTTTCATTTATATGTGTTTATGCTTTAATTATGACCATCATTTGATCATTAAATTTAGTATTATTGATACATTTTTTGGATTTATTTAAGTTTTTCTAGTGAACTCACATGTATTCTAATCAATTAATTGTATCTATGCATTTTCCAAGTGTATTTTGATATGCATCTTAACATTGCCTTTTGTTTACTCTTCGCAATACCAATACTGTTAACTACAGTATAGTATATATTATTGATACATTTTTTGGCTTTATTCAAGTTTCCCTAATGAACTCACATGTACTCTAGTCAATCAATTGTATCTATGCATTTTTCAAGCGTATCCTGATATGTATCTTAAAATTTGCCTTTTACTCTTCGTAATACCAATATTTGGTCCTTGGTTTTAGTGCTTGATATTAATGACTTACAAGTTCCTCAAGAGTCAGAAAACTATTTTTTTTTTCTGTGGAAAAGAGCTATAAATCAAACATTTTCCTCATATATAATCACAATAAGTAACACTACCAAGAATAAAAAAGACAAATGTTAGATGTGGTTGCCTTTCATGCTTATATCCATAAGATCCTGTACCATGAGAAAAAATGGGTTACAAAATATTGGGTTTTAGATTGCTCTAGTCACATAGAAAAACATAGACAGAAAATTAAGTCATAAAATACATCAAACACCACCAATTAAGAACATAATTAATCCACTCACACCAACCACAAATATATCCACAACTTTGTATATATTAAAACTATGTCCTTTACATAGAAGAATATAAGTAGCCTCTAACAACTAATAACCATATATTATCTATTGAAGAGATAAAAAGCAACTAACAATCAGAATAGAAAGACATTTTATTAGTTATTAGAAATTATCATTGGATAGAAGTAATTGATATAATAAAGATGTTCAAGTTCTTAATAACAAACTCTCAATTTAATGTGCATGTCTAAAGCTATTTATTATTCAAAACAAAAAAGTTATGTTTACTTTCTATCATAAAATATAGTTTGTTTTAGGAAGAAAAAGTTAATAATTTACATAAAAAAGCAGAAACTTAGGCTGTACATTATTTAATGACCCATTAATATGGGTCATTTCATAGACGCCCCCCTGGTTTAACATATTTACTAAAACCTACCCTAAAATTTGTATATCATTATGACACCTCATATAGTTTGACAAAAAGTATGAAATGATGTTATTGAAATGAAAAATAAAATAAAATGTTGATTGTGCCTCATGTTTTCCGTGTTTTTAAATGGTTGATATGAGATCTGACAAGGGTATTTTAAATAAAAACCCTAGACCCAATGCCCTTTCAGATTTTCTACATGACCATTCCCAAACGAAAATACAAAATGTTAAGGATAATCAAGTAAAGTGTGCAGTTGCAAACTATTGAGGTTGTTTTAATAATATACAAATTATAGGGTAGATTTTAATAAATATATGAAATTATAGGGGTGTCCAAGTAAATGATCCTTTTAGATAACAGAAATTCTTGGAAAAAGAGTTTTGGGAGGTTTTGAAAAGTTAGGGTAAATTTATGAAAAATGGAGAAAAATGAAGAGGAGTTTTAGATAATAACCCTAACTTTTTTCACTTAGAGGAACATGAAGGGTCATTTTGGGCCCGAAAAGACATAATAAGAATTCCTATTTTCTCATATTTTTTTGCTAGATCACACATAATTAATCTTGCAACCCCTAATAAAACACAGACACAGAATGACCATCAAATAGAAAAAAAAAAGAAGCAAATAAAACCAAACACAACCTTAATGGGGACTGAAGAAGTTACTAACCCCTTCCCCCCTACTTAGTTAATGAACACTTTATTGATAGCTGAAGCAAATAAAACCTTTATTGAGCTCTGCAAATTTCAGATCTTGCTATTGAAGGAGATGCGCTGGATGTTGTCCATTTCCTATTGGAGTCTAAATTGAACTTCGTCCCTTGGCACATGCAATCTTATGTGGCTGATTGCAGGAACCTTCTCTCTTTCAGTTTGTGTGTTGCCAATCAGCTAGTTAAATTGGCCTTGACTTAACCTTTTATTTATTTCTCTTTGTAACAAATCCTATGAAGTATCAATGGTTTTAAAACCAATTTTCAAAGAATTGAATGCTAGGGACCTGATGTTGCTCGATCCTAGGAAGTGCAAGAACCGAGGTTACAATCAGATAGTCCCTACCAACCGGGGAGCTGAGGTGGAAGGACGAAGCCGCACAATGAGATCTGTGATGTCAGAGGCCCGAGGAGTTATCCCAAATCCAAAGCTCAAGTCAGTAGAGGGCAGTAGAGAATAGTGCTGGTCCGAGCAGTATAACGATATGAGAACTAGAAATTGGATCCCTTACCTCAAGCGGGGAGTACCTTTTTATAGAAGAAGATCCGTGTCCTGATCCGTGTCGGGATGAGGTTAACCGCCGATGTCTCTAGGATAAGACCTAATCCCCAACAGAGTTGTCCCCATCTACTCTCCTGTCTTGGTCGTGTCTATCCACATGACATGGAGTCATCGTGGCTAGAAAGGCAGAGTGGGGCCGCGGAGGTGATGCGGTGCCAATGTGGCCGAGGAGATAAGGTAGGCTATGGATATGACGTGGTGTCTACGTGGTTGAGAGGATAGGGTGGCAATGTAGGCGCCACGTGGTGTCCGAAGCCAGCTCAACCATAACCCGAACAAGACCCATTACTCCAAACATGTGGTTTTGAAAACCGGATGAGATTGGATGGTTGGACCGGTTGACCTAGGAACCAATTATAGATCTGGGTCTGGTTTTAGACCCCAAAACTGTCCAACCTGGGTTTAGACTGGATGGTCAGACCATCTGACCCAGGAATCGGTGGCTAAAACGGTTCCGTTTCCGCTCCAGTTTCCAAAACCATGCCCCCATGATATATAGATAGTCAGAAATAGGGTGATCAATGGAGGCAAGAGAGTCGGTGATTTGTCTAGAATGCTATGAATACAAGGCTACCCAGACCTTAGACGCAATTTATATCAATGCACCTAGGAGAATGTAGTTTAAAACTGTGACTAGCTATAATATGACTTTTGGCAAAGTTGTCTACTCTTCACCATGTTAATTATTCTGAGAATGGTGAAGTTTCTGGAGGTTCCTTTTGTGGAAGTTCTCTTTCTTTGTATGAGTAGTGTTTCCACATTCAGAGACCACTGAGATAATTCCACATGAAAGTTTGGTTCTAGGAGAGATGTTTAATGTTGATGTTTGAAAGAGAATTAACCTGCAACTTCAAAACTAATCATCATTGACTTGACCAATCAACTGAGCTGTTCCATAAAAGAATGGTTCATCTCCTTAGGTTTGTATGGTTCTGAATCTGGTGATGTTTGACAAAGAAGCCAGAAAGAGGACGCAATGGGTAAAGTGTTGTAGCTAGAAGTATCTCACTTCTGACCTCTCTTTAACCACATTTAATATCATGAACAATCTGAGACCAAGTTGTGGAGATCTCTACTCACAGTATGCGATTAAGAGTGGAAATTAAATTAATCTCATTGAATATAAAGATTACAATTATACAATTATGTAACAACTTTTATACAGGTAATCAATTTTCCAATTGCAGGATAAGAAACCAAACTAATAATGAAATCAGAACAAAATCTATACAAATGAAACTGGTTATGTTTACAAGAGAAACCAAAGAAGAGGACACAATGGGTGAAGTGTTGTAGCTAGAATTGTCTCACTTCTGACCTCTCTTTAACCACATTTAATATCCTGAACAATCTGAGACCAAGTTGTGGAGAGCTCTGCTCACACACAGTATGTGGTTAAGAGTGGAAATTAAATTAGTCTCATTGAATAGAAAGATTACAATTACACAATTGTGTAACAACTTCTGTACAGGTAATTAAGTTTCCAAATGCAGGATAAGAAACCAAACAAATAAATGAAATCAGAATAAATATATTCAAATAAAACTAGTTATGTTGCAAGAGAAACCAAAGAAGAGGACACAATGGGTGAAGTGTTGTAGCTAGAATTGTCTCACTTCTGACCTCTCTTTAACCACATTTAATATCATGAACAATCTGAGACCAAGTTGTGGAGAGCTTTACTCACAGTATGTGGTTAAAGTGGAAATTAAATTAGTCTCATTTAATAGAAAGATTACAATTACACAATTGTGTAACAACTTCTGTACAGGTATTTAAGTTTCCAATTGCAGGATAAGAAACCAACAAATAAATGAAATTGGAAAAGGATTTAAACTGTTAAATAGAAATTGCATAATTACATCCAATAGGCCAATACTCTCTCTACTGTCAGACTCTCTCACACAAACACACACCCCTTCTTTTATTTATTCTCCCCTCTGTGTGTGTATGTGTGTTTAAGCAAAGACAACATGGAGAATGCAGAATGGCCTTGTGTTATGTCTCATCGTTGGATCAATAGGTTAGGTCTCCCAGAGGGAACAAACCCCATTTTCCTCTTTGAGAAGCAGCTTACACTTACAGATACTAGTAGCAGCCAATATCGTTTGACGCTTCCTGTTTACTGGGTGGAGAAAATTATTCCTCTATTGACAAGTGAGGAAAGAAATCTAATGGGGAGAGATGGATTAGAAGCCCAGTTGTGGGATCATACAGGGCGAAAGGGAGAGATTCGAATCAGGTCTCAACCTACTTTTGCTATTGTGGGGAGGGGGTGGAAAGAGCTGATGAATGCCAACCATTTGACAGGCGGTATCGACTCAGTTCGCTTATGGGCTTTCCGCCATGGGAATGAACAGAAGTTCTGTTTGGCTCTTGCTCATGTTCGACTACCCTCTGAACTTTATATGTGAATCATTTGGGTGATCAAGTTGTTTGCTTGCAATAGTTTTTACTTTCTTTCTTCTTTTCAGGGGTCATACCATGTTTCTTTGGGAGAGAAAATGGTTAGTCATCAGTCATTATGTCTTAAAATACACAGATAAGATGTGATGCTAGATCTTGGTTATAAATTATCATTTTATTCATCAATTAGAAACATGGAATGTTAGAAGAATTAATAGGAATTAAGAAGATTGAATAGGAAATGTAATACAGTTATTAAGTTAAACAATGAGTTTTGCATTTTTACTGAATAAATTGAACAAGGGAAAAAGAGACTTGTATGTTTGTTTTGCAAAAGAAGGATACTAGTATTTGTTCTTGTCTTTGATATACTAGTATTTGTGCTACAGGGTTAGAATGCAATGAGGACCTCCTTGTACTACATTTGGGTGTCATCATTTAGAGAAATCTAGCTAGAGATGAAAAACACAAGCTACATATTTTGGGATCAGAATGAGTTTCCAGAGAAAAGTTTCCCACCAAAATTTGAGCTTCTCAATGTGATTAGAAGTTTTGGTTATTACTGTCATTTGTGCAAATGTGAAATTCATTGTAGGGTATAGTGCTGGCAAGGATATCCTCCTGTAAGTTAATAAATGGTTCCCCCCTCTCCCCAATCTAGTGGATGATATAGATTGGCAATGGATTTTACTTCCATTGCAGAAGTTGGTGGGGTTATCTATCAAGCTTCCCTACTGTAGACAATTATTATTTAAACTTTTTTCCATTAGTAAAAAAAAGGCAATGGATCATCAAGACAAGCTTAATATTGAGATTTAAATATCAGTTTATGATATCACATTTAAAAGCAACAATGAATTTTGTCAACAATCTAAAATCAATCTATGTTTTTGGCATCCTTGCATTGATGTGAATCATTTAATATCCATTACCAACTTTCACAGAGAATCCTACATAGGGTGCTTGTTTCTACAAAAACAAAAGTCCCCAAAGATTTTGGTCCACTGAGCCAAAGAGTGAGCAGGCTTGGTAAAGGCACAAGGTTTAAAAACAAACTTAACAACAATAAAGGAATTTAAATAGTTATAAATAAAAGTAACCCAGTTTTCCAAAAACCAAAGGATTGCACAACTTTCCCCATTCAGTGAGCTCAAAATAGCTTTACCATCTGACCAAATGATTATATCCCTCCAACCCTATTCTTTTGACAATAAACAAGCTTTCCAAATTGCTTGAAGTTCAACTTCCAAAGAATTTGAAACCATACCATCTGTAGCCAAACAGAATTGTTTAGAATCAAATAAAGCACATATACCATAAGTGCAAAAACTTTATTTAGTAACAACACCCCCATCACAAAGAAGAAAATATGATTACTAACACTATTGACAGGCTTAGAAACAAAGCCAATCTCCCATCTCCAAATTGAATTACATTATTAACACATTTAACACCCAATTATAAGATAGACTGAAAATATTATTAAAAACATGATTATTTCTTGCTTGCAATATATAATAAAAAGAAACAGCCAACCAAGACAAAACTTTTAAGATTTCAGACTTATCTAGACTAGAATTTAGGACAAATGAAAAAGGAATCTAAAATTGAATGAAAATTAGAACATGAGACATTAAGGACATGTTTGGTTTGCTGCTCTTGGCCTCATTTTTGCCATGGTTCTCGGTGTTTGGTTACAAAATTTTTGTTATGGTTCTCATTCTTTTCAGAATGAAAAATCAACCTATAGCACAAAAATTGAGGCATCATGCAGCATAAAAGATAATCATGCCCCATCTTGCACATTTTCATTCTTTAAAAAAACTCTATTCCAATAATCATTAATCATCCTAGGTCCACAAAACCACCACCATTAATGTTTATTGGTGGACTGTTGTGAAAACTTATACCAACGGGCATTGACCACCATCCATCCACCGATAAACATCTATGAGATGATTTTGGAGACCTAGGTCGGCGGTTTATGACCACTAACACAGTTTTGTTTAAGAACGAAAATAAGCAACATAGGGCACTAGTTAGTTTGAAAAGAATTCATTTTTAAGATAAAAGTGTTTGGTTCATAGCAATATTTTCTCATTCTACCCATTTTTGTCCATTTTAAAATTTCATTTTGGATAAGAATAAGAAAGAATGAGACTTGAACCAAACATGACCTTAACCTCCTTGCATCAAATTGAAAGTGACTCAAGTAGGCACCACTATGAAACATGAGTAACCATTCTAAGTGCTTATTTGGAATGCTTGAAAATAAGTGCTTATTTGGGTCGGGACCACACCATTAAGCAATTAAGCACTTACTGGTGTTTGGGAAATAAACCCAAAATCAATGCTTATTTTAAAAATAAGTATTATACAATAAGCACTTTTTCAATGTTTTTTTTCCAAAACTGTCCCTAGTTATATTTTAAAATACCACTTATGCCCTTGCCAATCGTCTTCTCCACCAACCAGAGTCTTCTCCAATCATTGATCCTACTGGTTAGGCTAGCAACGACTATAACAGGCATAATTGCTATTGTTACTACTGAATCAACCAGAACCTGTGTTTTAAGGGGCGATTAGGGGTGGATTCAAGACGAGCCAAGTCGAATACTTGGCTATTCGAGCTCGGCTAGTAGGAATAGTTTCAGGCTCAAGCTCAACTATAAGCCAAGTTTTTTTTGAAAAATAAAAATTATATGTATAAAATTATTTTTTTTTAATTTTTAGACAAAAAATTAGGAATTATAAAAATTATTTACTATTATATATAAAAAATAAAAATATTATTATATATAATAAAATTATTTATAATATGTATGTATGTATGTATGTATGTATGTATGTTGTGTGCATATATATTTATGTATGTATGTATATAGATAATAAAAATTATTTATTTAATACTAGGCTTGCGAGCCTCACGAGCCAAGCTTCACTGGGCTCGCACTCGGCTCGAATAGCAAACGAGCCTATATATCATGCTCGAATTCAGCTCGAAGCTCGGTTTAAACCGAGTTGAGCTGAGCTTGAATAGCTCGTGAAAGGCTCGACTCGTGGCCACCCCTAGGGATGATCATATAGTAGCTATACCAAAACACATCATACTGTTGTTGTTGGTCACACAGATCCGGTCTAAGCTTGATACATTAGCTATACCAAGAGCAATTGCTACTATTGTTGTTGAATCAAACACCTAGAATCTGTGTTTTTGGTGATGTTTGATTCAATAGCTATAGAGCCTCAAACCTCTCAAAACGGTCTTGGTGTTGTTTCTCTGTTAAGTAGATAAGTCAAACTTAGAAGTTCCTCTGTTTTCATTTTCATTCTAGCATTACCCAGATATGTCTTTTCGAAAAAATAAGGTGGCATTTAATAACACTTTTTAGACGTTTGAAGTCTGCAAACTTTGCTTTTCAGATGTTGGTGTTTTTGGAGGACCTGAAACACAAATTTAGATCTAAATTTGTTAGACATGAAACCATGTCATACCAAAATCAGACGCATTTCAGACATGATAAAATGACATTAATGCCCTCATTATTGTCATCTATTTAATGATGATGATAATAATAATAATTATTATTATTTATTTATTTATTTATTTAATAATAGTAATATCATCATTATTATCTAATACTAATAAATATATTAGTACTGAACAATTATGATTATTATAAAATTATAAATAATATCATTTTAATTTAAATAAATAATAATATTTAGTATAAATATTTATATAGTAATAAGAATATTTCAAAATATATTTATTAGTAATAATTAAAAAAATTTATTTATTATTAGTTAATAATAATAAATAAATATTTTTATTTAAATAATAAATCATCATTTATTTCAAAATATATAATACTTATTTCTTAATAGAATACTATTTTTGTTTAATACTCTTTTTATTATTTATAATATTATCAAACAATCTATTTCTAAGGATAAAATAGTAAGCTTCACAATTTCAGATATTAGAGAATTGCTCCAACTCAAATGATCTTATCTTTTCAGAACCTCTAAAAAGCAAAAAATCATTTCTACTTCCTTTTAGATTTTAGACCCAAATAATATCTTTTCAACTTTTCATAATTCAGATTTCAAATTTATCAAACACCACCTAAGTTCTTATTAGAGAAAAAGACCACCAAACACCCAGAATCAACTAAGTGATTATTTTTTAAAATAAGCACTTGAAAAAGTTGAATGCCAAATGCAAATAAGTGCTTATTTGAATAAGCAGTTGTTTTTAAGCACTAATTCAATAAGCACTTAATTTTAACAATATTACTCCCAAACATAACCTAAGAATTTTAAATGGTTCTTCTAGGTTCTAAAACTGACTTGAGGGATATGATGAGTGGTTTTCTCCTAAAAATACTCAAAAATAAAGAGAACAATCCAATTAGGATACACTGAAAAATAGGAAGATGTAAAACGAAAGAGAGTAGTTGCCAAGATGGATAGGATTAGATCTCCGTTATTCTCTCCTATATATCTAATTGCCCATGATTTTCTCTTAATTGGAAGGGAGAGGGAGAGGTTAAGAGCCTTTCTGACTTGGCTTAATGGAGAAGACTAGGAAGGGGTAATGGATAGGGCTGTCAATGGGTTGGGTCTACCCGATAGACCTGAACCGTCCAAACCGTATTTATCGGTTCTGGTTCTATGATTCATTCCAATGGGTTAGTTCTGGTTTTATACTATATGTCCCAATTAATATCGGTTCAAGACCGTTTTTGACTGTCCTAAACCGGTTATATATACATGTTTTAGAGTTGTAGGTATACCAAAAATTGTAATTTTAATTTTAACACCTTAAACCCTCAAGCTCAAAATCTTTTGGCCTTTACCCTTTTGTTTTGCTTTTGCCGCTTGAGGCTTTAGCTTCTAAAGTTCTACTCGTCACTTTCTCTTTCTCTTTCTCTGAGAAAGTTTCTCATCACCATCTCTGTGTCTCACCAATTCTCAGTCACCACCATCTCCTACACACCAAGCT